TTTTTTTTTTCTAGTAGTCCTTTCAGTCTAACAAAAGTGGTTCTAAAGTGCCAAGACCTTTTTGCTTTCTGCCCCAAATTAACCTCTACAGTGGCTAGTTTGTGGCAGAAATTAATAAAACCTATAATGGCTTGCTTTTTTGATGTTTCTGTAAAGCTTTCTTCCTGGTTTTGAATTGATTACCCCACAAATATGTCACAGAGACCTTTTTGGATCGTTGAAATTGCAGACAAACATTTTTTTGCTGAGCTTGACTGAAATAGCAGAGTGTCCTCTAAAATCGGAATAAATAAATAAGCAAACAGTCAGACGAGAAACAGCAGATCTTTGCATGAGCTGTAATAAAATCCTGTTTCTGCTTCTTCATAAGGTGGTTGTGAGACTTTTTTTTTCCTCTCAAATACAGTAAAACATGTCATCCAATATGGTATAAATTGTCTGGAAGCAGAGGGGGAAAAAAATTCCAAAAATCCAAAACGTTACCAGCCCGTGGCGCGTGGGTCTGTTCCATTCTTGGGCTCGTGCGTCGAAATAGAGTTTTTATTTCCAGAACCGCTAGAAAATAAACATGTTTCCACAGAGCGCTTATTGAGGGTAACTGGTGCTTTATTTGTGCACAGACGGCTCAGGCAATCAATCAGTTTGCCGGTGAAGATGAAAAGAAAAGGGCAGGAACAAAAAAGACCCGAAACCCGTAGTATTTCATGCAATTGAGGGCTATTTTGGAGCTGTTTGGAGGGTGACAAGGGCAATGGAACAGACTTGGGAACAGAAAATGTTCTATTATGTTGCCATTACTCTCCAGGCGCCTGCTTGCCACCATAGAGTCAGTAGTCCCTCTGTGTGTGTGTGTGTGGAGGGGGGGGGGGTCTGCCCCAGTTTATTCTCAGGAGAGAGGGGAGAGTCACACACCGGATGGCAGCAAAATCGGGGGGCTTTCGTGCGTACCCCCTCGGTCTGCCGAAAGACAGTCTCCTTCAGCAGTCAGGGAATCTGCTCATGTGTACTTCTGTATATCCCACACAGAAGGCAGTGGACTTCATTAAGACAGCGCACATACAACTAGGAATTCTGATGATAATACACACTAATCTCCCGCACTATCAAACTATTAGACTCCCAGCCTCTCTCACCTACAATCTGAACCCTCACAGTGCCTTCTCTCTTTATCAAAACTCAAACACACATTGAAATCTACCTCTACCTCACAGGTCAAGAAGTTCACTCCCCATCATTTTGTATCCTTATTTCATTCTGTTGACGTATGATTGTGCACAGCTGATGTTGTTTTGCACATTATCTGTTCCCTGTTGTTGTTTTCGAAATTGCCTGTTGTCTCTGTCTTTCTTTTCTTATATAGTTGTATTGTTGTTTTACTGTACTCCTAACCGTCTGAGAGCTAGCTAAATAGTATTTTGTTACACCATATACCTGTGTATGAGTATAATGACAATGAACTTGAACTAAGCAACAAGACAGCACGAGCAGAGAAGCTGTTTGAATACCATATGCTTCTGGTTTTAATAGACCTGTAGTATCTTCCTGAGGGAAGCTGACGAAACTCAGTGTATGCTCCTCGAGGTGAAACAGGTGATGACCTGGGTGGGTGGGGTCATCAGCAATCCTTCCTGCCCGCCTCTGTGCTCTGGCGTTGTACAAATCGGCCCCTCTTCCCTCCTAATGCGGAGAGACTCGTTCACATTTGTGACATCAGGGGTTGTTGTTTTTTTTTAGTAACGTGAGCAGGTTTCAAAGTGCTGAACCTTTCTGTGCAACCTGCACCTGATGCCAGACGGAGAGAGGCACCGCAGTCGCTGGATGATAAGGTGGGGCCGCCCACCTCCCTTCCTGACGGGGACTGAGCACCTGGGGGCAGGGTGGGGTGGGGTCGTTTCACATCAGGCAGTCAAATGTGTCGTGCATGTCCAGAGGTGCAGACTGCAGTTCAGGGAGTGACAGGCAGAACATGCAAGCCCCACACAGACTACTGCCCAAGGTCAGGCCTGGCTGCTGTGAGGCAGTAGCCCCCACCATCAGGTCGCTGTGCCACCCTTAGCATGTCTCATGGTGTCTGCCAGTGTGTACCCTAGTTCTGATGCTGCGAAACCTTGGGTCCCCCCCAGTTTTGCCTCCTGTCCGTTCAAAACTGGGGGGGACCTAAGGTTTCGCAGCACCAGAACTAGGGTGCCCATCCTCTTTCGGAGTTCGGGGGGATCTCTCTCTTTTTTTTTTAATGCGTCACCTCCAACAAAAGACTGCAGGTGGTCCCCTTAAGACCAGGAATGTATCTAATTCCCCCTCTCTGGACTAATAAGCAACAGTAGCAAAAAAAAGTGGTCAGTCAGTCAAAAAGAAGGTCGTTGACCTTTGTCTAATCCAAACAAAGGCAAATTGCTGGCTACAGTACCTGCTATCTGGCCATCAAATTCTGACCTAAGAGAAAAACGGACCTAATCTGGCTTGGAACTCCTGCCTTAACTGTTGGCTGTACTGTTTCTCTGCAGCCATTACAAGCCTGCAATTAACACCTTTTCAGTCCCTCCTGCAACACCGATTTGTAAACTGACTTCTGTTTCTGTGGATTAAACAAAAATTGTTCAGCAAAACATTTTTAGCTGCGGGATATAAGCATCATCGATAACAGACATTTGTACTCGAGGCACTTCAGAGGTTTTGTTTTGTTTATATGTCTGATTTACTGGGAATGACCCCATAACGGCTTTAATTACATGGTGCTTGTCTTGATTCTGAAGTGCACTGTCATACCTTCGCTGCTTCGGCGTTCGTGTCAGTCTCTTTGCATGATCACCACGGGATATGAGAGTTTGTCCTCACTGAGACTCTCGTTAAATACAGCTTTTGACTGGCAAGTTGGCATGGGCTTCGGATGTTCCTGCAATCAGCTTTGTAGCTTTAAGAAACAGCTCTCCTCCCAGCTGCCAGTGACCACACATATACAGTCTGCAGCTTTTCGTACCATCCACCAGATACTTGGCGATTACAGGTGAAGCCGATTGTGTTCGGCCAGTTTTGCGATTGCGTAAATCATACCTGGCAACGTTGTGTGAACAACAGAAACAAATTCCCCCCCCAAAAATGGATCAACCACTTGACACTTTATGAAGGAAATAGGAGAGTGGAAAATCAGACTTAATGTTGTGAAGGTTCTGGAGACTTATGAGTGGATTATGTGCAAAAGTATGGGGTAATGTGTAATTCTATGGGCTTACTGTAATTGTGGAGCGAGAGAATTTGCAGGGTTCTGGTGTAACTGTGTGGATTCCTGTAGGAGAGGTGTGAAATGAACACGAATGGGTAAATGTCTGTTATGTAATGTTAGATTTATTTGGAATGTAAAGATCATTTGCACTGTTTGTATGTAGAGCATAGCTGCTTTAATGCGAGACAAATTTCTAAAAAAATAAAAATCAAGCCCGTAAAGTATTATCTTATCATTTCAATATCAACTCTTCTGACCTCCTGTGCCCCCCTGTGTACTCGAACCAGTGTCCTAAAAGGTGTCCAGCTTTCTGATAGATATCTGTTCACCCCTCTGTGGTCAGAAAGTCTGATTCCTGGAAAGGGTGCCCGTCCGGGAATTCTGGGACAAGGCTGGACGAGACGCCCGTTCCTTGCATGAATGGGTTCGTAAGCATGAGCACGTAAAACCACTGCTGAGCGAGGAAATGGGGGAGGAACAGGGGAGAGCACTCTGGAAGGAGAAGGCACGATCCCAGGGTCAAGGAAAACACCCGGAAAATGGGTAAAGTCCCTTCATTCTCCAGCTGCCGATGATGACAGCGATGACGATGATGATGACATATGCTTCCCTGCTAAAATTGCAAAATGGGGTGACCCCTCTTGCCCAAAGCAGTGAGAATAAGCCACCACAAGCTACATCCCTACAATTCCGAGACTATTTAGTAGTAGCAGACGAGGCCTTTTTCTCAATCTGGCGAGCGATGGGGAAAGAAAGCTGGTGTAAAGTGACCTCGCAAAAGAACGTGACTGCTGGTGCACGTGCCTCTAGTCTATGGTCCAAGGCAACAGCAGACCTGGCTAATGTGTGACTTCAGATTATCTCTAGCGTTTACAGTGTTTACAGGCAGCGGTTGCCAGATTAAACAAAAAAACACCGGCTGCATCTTTTAATTAAAGCTTTGTCTGGTTCCAGATTGAAGGAGGCCACACAGCTACTCCTGACAGAGAGGAGCCATGAGATGTAGCCAACCAAACCAGGAAGGATAATTCGGGCTGCAGGAAACTACGGAACCAAAGTAAGAGACGACAAATTCCCACATCCTGCGGGAAGACCACAGAGCTGCTCCATATCGCCCACGAATACCTTTGCACCTCAAGGTAAGGCGGGTCTTGTAAATCGTCAGTTTTTAAAGATTGGTAGCAAGAGAGCTCTGGTCCTTGCGGGGCGGAAGAGTACTCAAGATTTTAGTTCTGTGTGATCTCTAAATGTCTCCGTGTAGCAAATCACCTGTGTAACAGATCACGGTGGAATCGTTTCATGCCATAGAAACTGGTGATTTCATGGTATCCTACAAATACTGCTCTCCTGCATCTCCCAGATCCCTTCGGATTCGGAGATCCCTGAATCTAGTGCAATAGATGTTCATACGTATTGTAGCTGTGATCAGATCTGGAGATGGAAAAACCTGTTGAACACGTTGCCCAGGTGTATTTTCTAAACTTTTGGTAGGGCAGTTTCGAGCGTGCTGCTTGTACTTCTACGGTGTAGGATCTGACCCTGTCTAGGCCCAAAGAGGAAGGAAACTGGGGTCACCACTTCATTGAAAAGTACCCCATACTAACAAACACACATAGGGACACAGACACCTGGTTAGGACCTACAGATATCCCCTGTGTGCTAGTGAATTTATAGCAAGTTCAAAAAAGTTGGAGAGAAATTACCTCTGTGTAAAACAAGATAACCCTTTTCTATTTCTGGCTCAGAAATGTATCAAATTAAAAAGTGCCCAAATGATTAGAGTTCGTTTGTTTTAAAATTGTAACTTGATGTGCTTTCTAGTTGGTATAAAAAGGTTGTTGCCACTGTTGTTGTTGTTGTTGTTATTATTATTATCATCTTCATCATCAAAAATATAATGAATATTTATAGTGTTTCTGTCATAACAAGTAAGGTGGTGTTCTTTGTGTTCGGTTAAAAAAAAACAAGAAGAAACACGGGGAGAGTGTATGAATTTGTTTCGCATTTAAAAAACATAATTAGGAGCAAAACAATCGACCCCGAACGAAAGACGCCGCGGTAATTAAAAAAATGGCTACCGAGATATAAAAACTAAAAGTTGTTAACAACTCGGTTTGTTCCTTCTTCTCCGAGAAAAACAAACAAACGTCAAACATTTGGGCTGAATGCCGCACAAAAACACGAACTGAAACGCCAAGGTGAGGTAACTGCGCCTGGTCGACACCTTCCGATTAGTAAATAACTGAGCCCCACGGTCTGAGCAGACGTGTATCGGAATACAAAACTTTGTTAAAATCCCACAGATATACTCTACTTTTAAATCCTCCAGGTGGACCGGTTTCCCGGTTTTTATACGTTAGCGAAGGTTAGCGCTGCGTATTTCAAAGGCTTTAAACGTCATTAATTATTATAACATGAGGCGAAAGGGAGACAGTACACGTTGGGTTGTTGTTTTTTTTTTTTAAAAAAAGGGGGTCGAAGACAGAAAAGAGCGAACGCAGGGGCAAGGAGAGAGAGAGAGAGCGGCTTGTCCTTTTCTGAAAGAAACAAATCTCTCCCCGTCTGGGCTCAGGCTGCCCGCGCCTGTGCCTGTGTGTGGCTCTGTCCCCCTCTCTCTCTCTCTCCCGGCGGTGTTTTCCTCCCGGAGAGAGAGGCTGGCGCCAGCAGTCTGCAACGGTCCTGACAGGATTTGAATTATAGAAGCCGAGCGCGAGGAGGAGGTGAAGAGAGCGATGGAGTTGAATGTGTGTGTGTGTGAGACTGCTGTGTGTGTGTGACTGCTGTGTGTGTGTGTGAGAGAGACTGCTGTGTGTGTGTAACTGCTGTGTGTGTGTGTGACTGCTGTGTGTGTGTGTGAGAGACTGGTGTGTGTGCATGACTGCAGGAGTGTGTGTTAATGAGTGTGTGTGTGAGAGACTGCTGTGTGTGTCTGCAAGAGTGTGTGTTAGTGTGTGTGTGTG